CCATCACCTATATCTCCCGTGCAACCTCAGCCCGCAAAACATCCTATGATAACACGGATGCAAACGGGATCTCTCCGCCCAACGAATCGCTTAAATCTCTTCAATCAACAACATACTCATAACTCCCCTGAACCAGTAACATTTGCGGAGGCTAGTCGGCACAAGGAATGGAGGATGGCCATGGCTGAGGAATTCCTGGCTCTCCAAAAACAAGGCACGTGGACTTTGGTCTCACCGCCACAAGATGCACCAATCCTCGGGTGTAAATGGACATTCAGGAAAAAGTTCCATTCCGACGGCTCGATCGCAAGATTCAAAGCAAGGTTGGTAGCCCAAGGAAATCGGCAAGAATACGGTATCGACTATGGTGAAACATACAGTCCGGTTGCTCGTCTTCCGACCATCAGGGTACTCCTCACGGTAGCACTTCACTACGGATGGAGTGTTCAACAATTAGATGTGGCAAACGCTTTTCTTCACGGCCACCTTCAAGAAACAGTATACATGAGGCAACCGAAGGGATTTGAAGATACCGACCGGCCTGATCAAGTTTGCTTACTTCGTAAAGCTATCTATGGCCTTAAACAGGCCCCGCGACAATGGTACACCACTTTTACCGATCATCTTTGCACTATAGGATTTAATTATAGCAAAGCCGACCCATCGCTCTTGATCTTCGATCAAAACAACATCAAAATGTATCTTCTCGTCTACGTGGACGATATACTAGTCACCAGAAATAACAGTGAAGCCATTCGGGATATCATCTCCAAACTCCAACTTAAATTCACAATCAAGCACCTTGGACAGGCGAATCAATTCCTCGGCATTAATATTCAGTTCAGCCAAGATAAGTATTTTTTATCTCAAAGTAAGTATGCTGAATCTATTCTTAGTCAATCTAATCTCCTTTCGTGTAATCCTGTAGCCAATCCATCTTCAACCAAGACACCAAGCTCAGTTCCTGATGATCCGAACCTGTCAGATGCATCCAACTATCGGAAAATCATTGGCTCACTTCAATATCTGACAATAACAAGACCGGACATTGCATATGCTGTGAATTCCCTGTCGCAACATATGCAAAATCCATCCCAGCAGGATGCTCACAGCCTCAAACGACTACTTTGATATGTCAAGGGTACTCTCACATTCGGTTTACCAATTGTGAAGGCTTCGCTCGTGCTTCAGACATTCTCCGAGGCTGATTGGGCGGGTGATCCGGATACTCGCCGTTCTACATCTTGGTATTGCACATTCTTAGGCGATACACTAATTTCATGGGCAGTTAAAAAGCAACATACCATTGCTCGGTCCTCAACAGAGTCAGAATACCGTTCTCTAGCGTCGGAAACAACAGATACCATATGGCTCAAGCGTTTACTACAGGATTTCCACATTCCACACATTCAACCGATTAAGCTGTTTTGTGACAATACATCCGCCATAGCCTTAGCTCTCAATCCGGTTTTTCATGCCCGGACAAAACACATTGAGATCGACCAAAGATTCGTCCGATCTCACATTCAAGATAATCATATTAGTCTATGTCCCATAAGCACGGCAGATCAAACAGCCGATATACTTACCAAGCCATTATCAACTACCAGATTCAAACTCTTACGGTCCAAGCTCACTGTTTCAGCCGAACCATTGGCTTGAGGGGGGATATTAGAGATATTAGAAATATTGTATATATTTAGTTTCGCTGTAATATGCTTTGATATACATTTACATGTTTGCCATGTATCTACATGAAAAAAAAAAAAAGCCACGTGATTTGCATCTTATTTGGCTTTTAATATATAAAAAATACAATTCCATCATCATGTGAACGACTTTGACCTCATCCCAAAAAGTAATTAGTTTAGAATTATAATATGTTTATGTGAGTAATTTAATTGTTTATTTTAAGATAAAACAAATTATAGGCTTTGCAGATGTTGAGTTCATATTATTTTATAATTGATTATATATTATTGGAATTTTTAATATATCATATGAGGTAACAAAATCATATTATTTATGTTTGCATATAATCAAAACGAGCATTTCAATGAGATGAATCTGACAAATCTAATATCGTTCAATTCTAGTTAATTGAGACATAAAGATGTCCATCCAAAGAATGATTCCAGATAAGTGAATCTAGAGCTTTACCCACCGCTAACGTAATTGTTGCTACTGTTAATGCCTAATGCCCACCATCAGCCATAGCGCCAACACTCACAATTAATCCTAATTTTGATGTCGTCATGACTTTTAATAGCTAACAAATTAATTAGATGAAGCCCCCCATTGCAATAATTTTGACACATATTATCGCCACAAAAAATAATGCTCATCATCACTAACATTATCAATGTTTTTCATTCCCAAAAAAGTTGATGACGGGCAACAAACAATCATTCCTTCAAGTATAATGCCCGTCATTGCTGCTAGTTGTGCTAATGCTCAACATTGCCATTGTTGTGGGCTGGAACATTCGCAGCGATGGATAGATAAAGAGCTCAACATCCTAGTTTTGAATGAAGATCCAGCACACATACATACATACATATATATATATATATACACACACAGAGAGAGAGAGAGAGAGAGAGAGAGAGAGAGAGAGAGAGCGATATTTAGGGTGAAGAGAGAGAGAGAGAGAGAGAGAGAGAGAGAGAGAGAGAGAGAGAGGTGTAAGTCATTAGAGACATCAAGATTTTTATGTAAAAAATCCTGAAATAAGAGAAAAAAATCAAGGGCCTCACCTAGTTGAAATAAATCCACTAGTGTGTTTCGTTTATTACAAACAGCTTAATTCCTTAGGGGAAGGCATTGTCTCAATGTAGTTAATCTACATCATATGGAGCACTTTACATGGTTGGGGCAGGAAGAACCTAATATTATGAGAGGTATTCTCAAGAGAGTATTAACATGTTTATTTGGTTAGTAAGATCATAGTCGATGGCGGAGGTCAGAGGGGCCTTAATCGGGTGACTGATATAAAAGGGACCATTGTCGGGTTACAGAAGTTAGAGGATATGTAGTTAGGGGGTGACGGAGGTCGAAGGAATCGTAGTCAATAATCGTTGAAATTTAGAAAGACCATAGTTGACAGGGAGACTAAGGTTAAAGGGACAGTGGTCGATAGGGGATTGAGGTCGTAGGGACCAAAGTCGAAGACGATGGAGGTCGGAAGGACCGTAGTCAGCAGGCGATGGTGATTAGAGGGACCATAGTTTGTGAGAGACAATGGTTGAAGGGATCGTAGTTAGCGGGTTATGGTGGTCGGAAGGACTGAAGTCGACAGGCGATAGAGGTCGGAGGGACCTTAATCGGTGGGCAACAGTGGTCTGAGTGATCATAGTCGGGGGTGACAGTCGGGCTAAGGTCAGAGTGTGATAAGAAAACTGGTGATGGTCCTAAAATGGTTAGAGGATGACCCAACGATGGTCTGATGACGGTCGACGGTTGGGCATTGTCTGATAATGGTCGACAGTGGGGCGGTGGTTTGGTGACGTTTGAAAGACAAGTGGTTGTTCGACAACAGTCAACAGTCGGGCAATTATCTGATGACGATCGATAATCTAAAGATGACGGGGACGAGTGGTAGTGCAATGATGATTGGCAGACAAGAGGTGGTCTGGTGACAGATGACAACATGGGTCGATGATCCAACAATAGTCAGGAGGATGCCCAATGCAGTTGGTGGCTGGGTGGAAGTCCAACAGCTATCAAGGAAGGGACGTTGGTCTGGCCGGCTGATGGAAGTTTGCTTGTGACAGTGCTTGGATGTAGCTCTAGATCCTTGAAACCTCAAAGCTCTCTCCCAAGTCTAGCCAAAGGCCCCCCTCATGAAGGGAGCATGGGCCTATTTATAAAATTTCATAAGTAGCATACCCCTTAATTATGGAGAATATCGATGGCAAAATCGGAGTGATCAATTGGAAGGCTCATACCAATTCACTCGATCATAGAGCATTTATCAAGCATTTATGTACACAAATGATGTCAAAATTAAGCAATCTTGGGCTCATTAGATTCGTCTTGTCAATTTGCTCGATTTGACTATAGACATGTCCTATTTAGAGATCATTTGATCATTCAATTAATGCTTTAATCTTTTAAGTGTGCTTCAATCCCTTGTTTTGGGCTTGGATTGGACTATTTTTTAATGTTGTTGGATTCGTCTCCTTGAGATGTTAAATTTCACTATAAGTTTGCTAAAATTGGAGTTTGGATGGTCCTAATTTTAATTTTGGAAGTTTCCAGCTCGAATATGCTTTGAGATTCGTTCTCGATCAAAACAGTTTTTTATGACGTATCAAACATCAACACCTGTTGTCGTTAATAAGGTCATGCCCGTCATCATCAACTACATATGATTCCATTTGTTTTAAAATATTTTATATAATCAATTAAAATTTATATTGCATCTATCTTAAAATAAATTTAATTAGTTTAAAATCACTAGCCAAATATTTTGTTACACCACTTTTTTCAAAAAATCTCTATGTTTAACGAGCTGGCTCATATGCTAACAAGTCGAGTTAGGTTTAGTTAGTTGAGTTCAACTCATAAGCTATTTATCAAGTTGAGCCCGAGCCAATTCAACCCAATTAAGTCACAATTTAGAATGACTCAAAATAATTCTCTTTTTTTAAAATATACCCCTAATAATTCAATGGTATGATACTATATAGATCAATAATGGGAGGATCATATCCAAATATTTTTATTTCCATGCTATATAATAGAGAATTATTAATGCTCGTAAAAATAATTTAAAATTAATAAATCCTTTTTAAAAAAATGACCGTTAATGTATGGAGAATTATAATAAAATTTTTAAAATAATATCACTGCATATTTTCAATTTTTCATAATAAATTTTATTAAAACTTCGAAATGCTGAAGCTCGCACGTGATCCAGCCCACGGATTCCTCTTTCTCACGTGCACGATGACCGCGAGTCAACCACGGAAGCTTCACCCTTCTTCTTAAATCCGCAATCTTTCTCAGCATGTACACACCACAGCTCTGCCCGCTGGCGGCTGAAAAGCTCCGGTGAGATCAAACTCAATGACAGGAACGCTGGCACATTTCTTGTTAATCTTATTTTCACCCCTCTTCTTTCATAAAACATCTGCCGGAACAGCATCAAACGAGAAGGAAATCCTCCTCAACCTCAAAAACGATTGGGGGAACCCTCTTTCGCTCAGCTCATGGAACCTCACCGGCGACCACTGCAAATTCAACGGAATATCTTGCTCCGACGATGGCTTTGTCGAGGGCATAAACCTTTACAATAGTAGCATCTATTTTCCGATTCCTGCATCCATCTGTGATCTCAAAGGTCTCGCCTTTCTCAATCTCTCCGACAATAACATCCCCAGCAAATTCCCCATCGTTCTCTATAACTGTTCCAAGTTGCAGGAGCTCGATATCTCCGACAACTACTTTTCCGGCGAACTCCCCGTCGACATCTACAAGTTGCCGAGCAATCTCACACATCTGAAGATCTCCGGCAATAGCTTCACTGGCGATTTACCCCCCGCCATCGGCCGGCTTACGGCAATCAAGTTTATTAATCTTAGTTATAATCTGTTCAACGGTACGATTCCGGCAGAAATGGGGAATCTTTCGACACTGATGACTCTAATGTTGGCTCAGAACCCCTTCTCGCCGGCAAAGATTTGGCCGGAATTCGGCAACTTGACGAGTCTGACATATCTCTGGATGTCAAACATAAGTCTTTTAGGCGAAATCCCCATGAGTTTTGGGAAGCTTGTGAATTTGGAACATCTTGATCTAGCAATGAATTCGCTTGTCGGTGAGATTCCCGCAAATATTTGGATGATAAAGCCGCTGAAATATATTTACTTGTATGCTAACAATCTCACCGGAGAGATCAGTAGGACGGTCGCCGCCAATGGGTTGGTCGAGATCGATCTTTCCATGAACAATCTCACCGGATCAATACCGGAAGCTTTTGGGGAGCTTCAAAACCTTACTCATCTCTTCTTGTATTTCAACAATGTTTCCGGCGAAATTCCGGCGAGCATCGGCCGCCTACCGAATTTGTATGACATAAGGCTCTTTAATAATAGGCTTGAGGGTGTTCTGCCGCCTGAAATGGGTAAGTATTCCAAGCTGTGGAATTTCGAGGTGGACGACAATATGTTCACCGGCGAGCTACCGGAGCATCTCTGCGATGGAAAGGCACTGACTTGCATAATTGTCTTCGACAACCAGCTCACCGGCACACTGCCAGAGTCATTAAGTAGCTGCGACACGTTGCTTAATGTCCAGATACAGAACAATCAGTTCACCGGCGAGTTTCCTGCCGGAATTTGGTCGGCGGTAAACCTATCTCTTGTGATTACAACTCAAAACTCTCTCAGCGGAACTCTACCATACAAACTCCCCGCGAATCTACAACGGCTTGAGATCCAAAATAACCAGTTTTCCGGAGGGATCCCGTCGTCGGCGGGAGGGCTTTTGGTCTTCCACGGCGATGATAACAAGTTTTCGGGCGAGCTTCCGGCTAGCTTCTTCGACATGTCGTTACTTCAAGAACTATCACTAAGCAGAAATGAGATATCTGGCGAGATCCCGGCGGAAATCGGGTCTCTGAAACACCTCAGCATTCTTAATCTAAGCGACAACCGCCTGTCCGGTAACATTCCTGATACAATGGGATCCATGATGCTCCATCACCTTGACCTCTCAAAAAATCAACTTTCTGGTGAGATCCCTTCCAATCTCGGTAACCTGATACTCAGCTCTTTCAATCTCTCCTTCAACGACTTCACCGGTGAGATCCCAGTTCAATTACAAAACCAAGCTTACGAACAGAGCTTCCTCGCAAATCCAAACCTATGCACCTTCGACTCCATTTCCAGCATCCAAACTTGCAAGAACCGACCAAAAAAAATCTCAGCCGGTCTTCTCATTCTCTTCTCCATCCTCGGCGCCCTCATTTTGTGCGGGGTGTTCCTCCTCTGTTTCCTCATATCCAAAGAACGCCACAAGCGTAAAAAAGCTCGCGCCATTCCGTCAGACTGGAAACTCACCTCGTTCCAAGCATTCAATCTCAATGAAGAAACCATCTTCCACAGCCTCACCGACGAAAACCTCGTCGGAAGCGGCGGCGGCGGCAAAGTCTACCGCGTTTCTCTCAACCGCGAAACCGTCGCCGTCAAAAAAATCTACAATGCTCGCAAGCTCGATTCTACTCTCGAAAAGCAATTCGAAGCCGAAGTCAAGATACTCGGCTCCATCCGCCACGCCAACATCGTTAACCTTCTATGCTGCATCTCCAGCGAGAATTCAAAACTTCTCGTCTACGAATACTTGCAGAATGGCAGCCTTGACAGGTGGCTTCATCGCCAGCAACGTGGAAACGCGCCTCCGCTAGACTGGCCGACGAGGCTCCAAATTGCCTTCGGCGCTGCAAGGGGACTCTGTTACATGCACCATGACTGCTTCCCACCGATCATACACCGAGATGTGAAATCAAGCAACATACTTCTCGACCCCGAATTTAAAGCCAAGATTGCTGATTTCGGGCTTGCAAGGATTTTAGAAAAGGGTGGGGAGCCGGAGACAGTGTCCGCGATGGCGGGGTCGTTTGGGTACATGGCGCCGGAGTGCGGGAAGATTAGGAAGGTGAGTGAAAAGGTTGATGTTTACAGTTTCGGAGTGGTGCTTTTAGAATTAGCGACGGGGAAGGATGCAGGGGATGGCGGGGAAGAGGAAGACGAGAATTTGACGGATTGGGCGTGGAGAAGGTATAAGGACAGAGGGGCGGTGGTAGATGAGGAGATCGCTGGAGAGTCGCTAGAATGGAAAGAGGAGGCGGAGGCTGTGTTTAGGTTGGGGGTTATATGTACCGTATCGGATCCGATTGCTAGGCCGACGATGAAGGAGGTGGTGCAGGTATTAATGAAGTTGGGCGGCGGCGGCGTTTCTGGCGGCGGATTTGCCGGCAGCGGCGGCGGAGGCAGTCCACTGTTGGTTGAGAAGAATAGTAGTAGGAAGAAAAAGGTTGCAGATGTTATGGAGGATAGTGATGACAGTGGAATTGGTCGATATACCGGTATTGATTCTCTGTTGTGAATAGAGATTCTCCGGCAAGTGGCGGCATGGGCGGCGGCTTCTCTTAACGCCAGCGACCGCTGCTCTGCTTCGTTAATTAAGTAATTTCCTGCTTTAAATTTTGCAATGTGTACATCAAATAAGATTTTCATAAAATATTTATCACTTAGGGGCTGTTTAGTAGCACCCAAGGTTTAATTTAAATTGCATTTAATAAATCCTCTAAATTTGGATTTCCAAAATCCTGAGGGACCTAAATCTTGAATATTGTTTGGTAACATTTATCATAAATTCTATTAAAAATGTGCGACTGTTTGGTTATAGAGCGGATTTAATGATCGGACTCTTCTTCTAGAATCAATGGATTTCGTAAATCCGGCAAAAAAACAAGATTTCATAAATTCAAGATTTAGCATGAAAAGGCGGAATTTTTTGTCTAGATTTGGTTTTGTATTTTAGGTCTGTTGCGTGCTAGAATATACGCGGCGGTAGAGTTTGTAAATTTGCGTCCTAGCGTTGTACGAGTATTCAGCACACAAACAGAAAAAAGAAGTGAACACCAATGTTTTTACGTGGAAAACCCGAAAGAAGGAAAAAACCACGGGGCCTCGCCCAGTTGCAAAGTTCCACTAGTATTTGTTTGAAGTACAAAGGTTGATCCGTCTTACAAATCAAGACGATCAATTTACAATCATCTTCTCACAAAGTTACAAAGTTCTGCAAATTCCCGGTGTTTCCCGAAAATCCGGCAGAGTTCCGGCGTCTTCAGGCGGCAGGAAGAGCTCCGGCGGTGGTCGAGGAGGAGCTTCTTCCTTCTCCTCCTTTTTCTCTTCTCCTTCTCTCTCTTCACTTGAGTCTCCTTTGTGTAGAATGAGTGCTCTATTTATAGTTTTTCTGGAGTGGCATAGCCCGTAAATAGGCATGAGATCAGGGGTGAATTGGGAGTCGTTTGAATGAACGGCCGATATTGAATCCTATGATTGTGCACCGTTTGTTGGACATTTGAAGGTCTTAATGATGTTGGAATTTGGCGATTCTGAGCTCTTTGGATTCTTCTCGTCGAGCCGCTCGATTCGAGTATAAGCTCATTAAAATCGGAGACCGTTTGGTAACTCACCTTCCACAACGCTTCGGGTCCTTGATTCAGGACTCATTTGGGCTCGGATTGGGTCGAATTTGGTGTCCGGTTGGGTTCGTATTTCCGAGACGCTCAGTTTTGACTATAAGCTCGCTGGAAATTGGAGTTCAGATGCTCTCGAAATTATTTTTGAAGTTCGAACTGATTTTTGCCTCGAGATTCGTGCCTAATCAAGATAATTTTCTGAGAATACATCAGGCCGTTTGGGCTGGATTTCGCTCAAATCCGCTCAAATCTGCACTTAACATGCCCCTTAGATTTCTAAATCTCAATCCATGTTTTGGATGAGCTTTTGAAAGATTGGTACGTGTCCATATCAAATGTAACATCTAATACTTTTAATAATTTAAAATCTCCTTACGCTCTACTTTGATCAAAGAAATTTAAATAAAAAAAATCATGTTAATAATATTTTAATATAATTTATTAGAATAAATTTAAACTTATTATTTTTTAAAATTAAATATAACAATTGATACAGCATCACAAAATTAGCTAATCTGGGCACGATCTCGAGGCAAAAGCTAATTGGATAACTTCAAAAATTAATTTTGGGAGCACCGAAACTCCGATTTCAACGAGCTTACAGTCAAACTGAGCGTCTCAGAAATACGAATCCAATGACTCCAAGATGCAACGCCAATCCCGAGCACAAATGAGTCCGAATCAAAGGCTCAAAGCGCTGTTGAACAGGTTCAAAGCAAATTTGAGTTATCAAACGTCTTCGATTTTACGAGCTTATACTCGAATCGAACGGCTCGACGAGACAATCACGAGCCCAAGATCACCGAATTCCAACTCATTAAGGCCTCAACTGCCCAAACGAACGGTACATGATAAAGGATCCGATACGGCCGTCCATATCAACACTTCCTACTTCGCCCATGATGCTCACTCCTATTACGGCTTATGCCACTCCAGAAAAACTATAAAAGAGCCCGTCATCTACCACAAAAGGAATCAAGTGAAAGAGAGAGAAACTGAAGAGGAAAGAGAAGGAGAAGGAGAAAGGGGAATAGGAGATTCCTCACCTCCTCCTCGACCACCGCCGGAGCTCTTCCTGCCGCCTGAAGACGCCGAAACTCTGCCGGATTTTCGGGAAATGCCAGGAATTCGCAGAAGAGAGAAGAAGAAGAGGAGAAAGGGGAAACAGAGATTCCTCACCTCCTCGACCACCGCCGGAACTCTTCCTACCGCCTGAAGAAGCCGGAACTCTGCCGGATTTTCGGGAAACGCCAGGAATTCGCAGGAATTATGCACAACTTCCACGTGGTGCTAAATCCTTCCCAACTAACAACAGAGTTCCCACTTAACGCCAAAACTCCGCCCAAGGGAGGCCGGATTTCTCCCCTGCCACCAACAGACGTCGGACTTCTACCCGACGTAGGACCTTCACTCTTCGCCAAGTCTCTACCCGATGCCAGATTCCTACTGGTTATCGGACTTCGCTGGACATCTATGCAAAGATGCATTTCTTTCCATTGCTGGACTTCTACCTGACGCTCTACTACTGATCTTTGTCATCAGACTACAGTCCTTCCGACCTCCGTCGCTAGCCGACTACGGTCCTCCTGACTTACGTCGCCTGCCGACTACAGTCTTTCCGACATTCGTTGCCCGTTGAATACGGTTCTCCTGACTTATTTCGCCCGCCGACTACAGTCTTTCCGACCTCCGTCGCCCGCCAACTACGGTCCTCCTGACTTATGTCGCCCACCGACTACAGTCCTCCGTCGCCAACTGACTACGGTCCTCCTGACCTACGTTGCCCGCCGACTGCAGTCCTTCTAACAAAGCGAATACGTCGATAGTAGCTCTTTGTATTTACATTATGTAATGTACTTCATAAGATGCACATCAAGCTAAGGCCTTCTCCCAAGGAAGGGCCTCATTTGTAATCGACTGCAAATACTAGTGGATTCGTTCAAACTGGGCTAGGCCCGTGGTTTTTTCCCCTTTTACAGGGGTTTTCCACGTAAAAATCTTAGTGTCTCATAAATGCTAGACCCTTTCTCTTATCTGATTGCGTGCCGGATTTTCGTACAACGCTAAGACGATAAACTTTATATTTCTCTACCGCCGCGAATACTCTTGGACGCAACAACAATATTAATTCTTCATATATTTTAATAATTTTAAAAATGAATTTGATAATTTTGAATTTAATTTCTTGATATAATTTTAAATATTAAAAACATTTAATTGTCTTATTACAAAATAGTTTTTAAAAAATTGTATAAAAGAGAAATATTATTGCTCATGAAAAGAATTTAATTATTATGAATTAATAAAATTAACAAAACCCTTTGAAGACATGAATTTATTCAACTTAATTTTATGATCAACAAATGACAAGTGATTAGGAACCAATATTTATGATTAAGTCTAATCTAATTTTGATTAGTTATCCTAAGCTTAATTAGATTATATTATTATCTACTTAGTGGAAACAAAGTAGCTTCTTCAAGCATGAATACTACTTGCCATAAAGTGACAAAAAAAAAAACCTTCTTTAATTGAATGGTTGAAAGGAGTGTGAATGTGTGATGTTGGCTACATTATAGAAGATATTTTTTATATGCTTATAATTTATATTTTTTAAATTTTTTTTTTATAATTTCATAAATAAAATAAATATAAATTGAATTATAATCATCTAGTAGTTTAAGATTGTAAGAAATCGGGTTATTTAAAGATGCAAAAAAGAATAAAAAATTTATATTTCTTTTTATAAACGTTTTGTGTCACAAGTAAGTCTAAGCAATTGATCAATTATGAATTTAAGGCATCGTTTGGCACGACTTTCTTACTTCTTATTAAAGCAGTAAAAAAGTTGTAGCAAACGAAATCTAAGTATTAAAGTTAATATTTTAACACCATGAATGGCTCACATGCAAGGCCTGCATGCCAGACATGTACGTTATTTTCTAACAATGTCCTAATTGTGTCCTAAATATGTCGGATATTATATACTGCATCATAATATAAGTTCAATGATTTTTAGAGTATTTAGAAATATGACAAGCATTGAACATAAAGGAAATAGTTGGTTCTAAATATTTTTGGATCTCTAATGATATTAATTGGATTGCATTAACACTTCTAGAGCTATGTCCTATGGTTCTTAAGAAAATGACTAACTATTACTTTTTATCTTCTTCTTTTTTTTAATAATGATTAAATTAATTTTTAAATCACTTATTAAATTTTTAGTCATATTTTTTCATGAATTATGATTATTATCAATGTAATTAAATTTTCAAGAAAAAAGGGAGTTTGAATATTATAATCAAATTCTTATCCCAAATCAGCATAAATTTGAAATTCTCGACAATCTTATATAAAATTAAACTCGTTAACATGTGAAATACCTAAAAAAAAGCAATTTATATGTACATATTTTATTATTTTATTATTATTTTATATATGTTGCATAGAAATTTTATACAAATGTTGCATGTAATAGAGAAAATTTTTATTCACGATATATGATAGTTGTTATGCTCTTCAGAAGCATATTTTTATTATATAATATGATGTAGAAATTGAGATCAAATATACCTTTTTTATTATATTTTTTTTATAATTTATTTAACTTGTTATATGAATTTGTTACAATAATTACATCATTGGGTAAAATATTGTGCCTCTAAATGAAGGGAAAAAAATTATGTAAGGCGTCATGATAGACTTTAGAATCTTTAGATTCAAAAAGGGGCAGTGCCAAAATTTTCATCATGTGGGGTCACAAATCATTGAAGTAAAAAAAGAAAACTCTCCATCTTTTTCATCTAAACTTGGAATCAGAATTGACGGTTTTTTTTTAATCATCAGATTCATTATAAAATTGAATGAGAACAATATTAAAAATGTTATACTAGTCACAAAAAAGATTTTATGCTAATCAAGTTATAAATAACTAATTTCATGATTATCACATGTAAGATAGGATTTTTATGTTTCACTTCAATAGAGCTACTATAACATCTGCAAGCATAAGAGTATATAAAAAAGTCACTAATAAGTAATAATCCCTAATTGAAGCTCTAAAATTGATCAAATCTATATATATAAAAAAAAGTTTCATGAAAATCCTTGCGCATTCAGATCGGTTCAATTCGCCATTCGCGTGAAATGTAGAGGGGTATAGCGGCAAACGTAGAGTAGCGGTAATTGGAAAACCGAAAATTACCCTAAGAATCTACTTTCACCTATAATTAAATAACCGTAAATATATTTCATTAAACTTTAATTACACATTTAGTGGGGCCTGTGCCCCTAGGGCCCTATGATAAATCCGCCCCTAAATTCATATTAATATTCGTACTTCATATGATATCTTAAAATGTTCTAATCAAAGAGCCCATAAATTTTTTTTTTCTCTTCTATACAATCTCTCACTTCTACCACCCCAATGAAATTCTTTTATACTAACCAACTATAGAGTAGCATACAGGAAGCCCATCTCAATTTAATGAATCATGGCCCACCAAAACTAGGCCCATATAGAAGTGATCCATTTATGCTAATTGTAAGCCCAAGCCCAAGTTTGTGGTTTAGGAAATGTTAGAGCAAACATTTGAGGTTCAAAAATAATTCTAATTTGAATTCATACATTATAATTTATAGGATATTTTATATATAATGAAATTTAATGTATAAGGATGTGGTGGGGTAATGTCAAAGTTTTGTGATATATCAAATCAAAATAATATTCATTTGACCTTATAGGATTCTTACTAAGCTAAGCTTGCCTCAATAAGAAAATCAAACAAAAGAGAAACTTTTTATACGGATAAATACATTAAAAATGCATAAGAAATAAGGTTACATTAAGGCTTCGTTTGGGACAGCTTTCTTCTTACTTCTTAAAGCAACATTCTAATACAAAAATTTAAAATTTTGTATTAGAAAACTGTTTTAAGAAGCAGAAAGAAAGCCATCCCAAACGAATCCAAAATTTAAATCTGAGGAGATAAGAGATTTAAGCTCTAAACAATAGTGAAACTGGCAAGAAAAAGAGCATACATTAGGCCTGGTTTGGCGATTACTTTCTTCAGTATGCTCGTGACTTATGAGAGTTCCTTGCCAAAAGAATCTTCTTGCTTCACGTGCAATATATGAGCATTTTTGAATTATCTCTATCTATGATTACTTTCTTCGTGTTTTAGGTTTATTTTTTGGCAATTACACTCAAGTTGTTCTAGTTAAGCAGGATTAAATGTGTGCCAGTACTAAATAAGTGATGCTCAATATGATATCATGAATCATATCATATTTAAGATAAAAAATAAGTTATATATATTATTATAATAAATTTATAAAAATTAATTTTATTTTAAATTAGTGTCACATAAATTTTCTATATATATCACTAACTTAAAAAAAAAAAAATTTAATGAAATATCTTCATATAATTTGGTCTATATATTTGAATTAACATGTTAAATTATACAATAAATATCATGATTCCTTCCTTGACCAAGGTACATGTAGTACTTAAGCATTCAAAATAACAATGAGTTGCTTTTATTTGACTCAAATGCCCTACATACATTTAAAATGCTGGATCAGGTTGGCGCGCTAATGTCGGGGGCATTTTCGTCAATCACCAACTGAAGCTCCTTTGAATCTTCCGTTGCTCTGTAGCGAATACCTACATCATTAAAAAAAAAAATTCAAATTTGACCGTGCCGTTATCGCCTTCATAAAAAATAAAACCGGACCAACTAACCCAACCGGTTTTTCCACTTCAAAAAAGAACCGGCTTCGGTGTTTTCGTAAATATAGGGAGATAAGGGGGGCTACTTTAGAGATGATTGGGGTAGGTGCTTTGCCACGTGGCGAGGATAGGGGCTGACGCTTAGAACGTTTCGGGCTCTGAAATTTTTTCTGTTCCGGTCCTCGTGATAGTGCTCCGTAACTGTGCTATAATTTTCTCGCGTCCCCATATATGGATCGCCGGACGTTGACCTGTAACGGAAAATTTTAAATTTTAATTAACTTTTAGTTTTTACTATGTGTAACTAAATAAATTAATAATTTTATTTTATTATATTCACACATAATACAAATAATTTAAATATTTACATTCCGTGAGCTCAGCATAAGAAAAAAAAGTTTTTTTTTTTAATAGAATTGAGACAAATGGTACGAACCTATAAAGCTATGTATGATACAAAAGTGACGTTATTTGAAAACTTGCTAAAAAATTTATGAGATTTGACATATTTCAATATGAAAATATTTTTAATTATTGTATTGAATTTTGTACTAGAAAATTATGTTTTTTTATTAAAAATAAGATAATTAGACAAAGTATTTTATTTAATTAGGTAAGAGGTTGTTTGATTGGCTATAAAATGAATGTAGTCTAAAATAAATGTACTATATAGTAAATATATTTTTTGTAAATTGAATACAAGGGAACTATTTTTCCAGCTTAATTAGGTGTATGCATAGTAAAATAAAATCAGTCAATTGCCCCCAATTAATCACCAGTCGATTTAACATTCCCAGTGAAATCAAACACAGAAGACACATCTTGCAACTTCAGGTTTCCACACGAGCTGGTCTGATCATCCCGCGGCTCCAAGTTCACGCATGTAGTGGCTAAATCAACCAAAAGTGGAAAGACATACCTTGGAGCAATGGGATGCACGATTGTTGATCCCACTGGTCACAATTGAGCACGATCTTTTGTCTAAACTTGAATTTCGCCTATGTCTACGTTCAACCCGACAATCCGCCTTTGTCAAGATCGTTTGACTTCACCTCTACCTGCTCCATGCATGAACGACTAACATCCTGTCTTCATCTATCTCACACCAACTAGACCAAAGGCCACACCTCCCGCAGCTATTTCCACGCTCGAAGTTCCACCGTCCGACCTCCCGATCAACGAAATCGAACGACAATAGAGAAATAGTGAAGATGAAAATCAAACCTCCAAAGAAGCGATGTTGAGTAGGAATGATGGAGCCGAAGAAGCTACTGCACTGTGAATTTCTTTCTCACTTGATTTTGAGCCGGTTTACTTTACATTAAAAATGAACTAAAGTGAGAGTTCCGAATACATTGCGAATTTACTTTTTAATACTTCAGTGGCCAACCAAACACCAAAAAGTTAAGAAGCATTTGCGTTTACTTTTCCTCCAATCAAATGGCTCATACATTATTTAAGAAATTTTGGTTATATATGACTCATAATATATGTAATTAGAAAATGTCCCTATTTTATTTTCTTTGGAGTAATATTCATGTAAGATTTCTTTGGATGAAATTGTTTGCAATGAGAGGGAACCAATTTGAGTTACTTTGAACCTAGTTCTAAACTTTGAATCATATTTTTATAAAAAAAAAAATAAAAAAATTAAGTGAGCATATTTGTCTAATTATATATATTGAGGAAATTTTTTGGGAGAAAATATATATTAACTAAATATTAATTAAATCTCAACTACTTAAATCTTTTTTTGAGATAAATAGAATAAAAATTTAATAAATTTTAAATTTCACTCGTTGTAATCTCAAAATAAATTTAAGTATAATTAAATTTTTTCATATATTTTTTATTTTAAATTTTCAATATAATATATTTCAAAAAATTAGCATCGTTAATCCAGTACATAACCCAATAAATTGACTCAGATTTGACACAGATATTTTGGGCTCAGATCAACCTGTTTAATAAATGGCTCATACTCAAGCTCATTTTTTACCTGTTCCAATATTGAGTCGAGTTGAGGTCAACCTGCAAATCTGAAATCAACATTTATTTGATCTATCAACTCGAAATCTTACTATATATTTCAACATTTTTAAGACCCTCATTAAAATCATTTGTTTAGAAATATAAATGATTTGGCGGGTTGGGTTGAATGGGTTGCTGATGGATCTTATTTGGGCCCAGGATTTTGAGTTCGGGTCAGACCCGAAATCCATTTTGACCCCCTGCACAAAACTTTAAAAGGAGATAAGGGCAGGCACTTTCCCTTAAAATCAGAAGAAAATGACGCACAGGCAGTAGGAGCGTTACAACTTAGAAGAGCTGGTTCAGTAAGCCCTTTCCCCCTTCTTCTCCGCTCAGGCTCTTTTATCTGATGTTAGATGACGATCTGTCTACCATTTTCAAATAAAAAATCGATCTTGATAATGCTCTTAATCTTCGGATCAATGAAAAATACTGTAGACATTATCTCTTTATTATAAAATTCAAAATTTCTTTACTTTTTTATGTGATCGAGGTTCTTCTCTTTTTTTGTTTGAGCGGAAGAATCGAACCTTTTCTCCATCTTTTGAGGCCTGTCATCGTCTTCTTTATCCTGTCCTTCCTCTCTGTAGGTTCATCAGTTCAGATAACAATGGGGCGAGCTACAAAATGGCTGAGAAGATTATTCGGAAGCAAAAGAGAAACCGGAGAACCAAAGGTTCCCTGCAATGAAGAACGAAAAGAGAAGAAGAGATGGAGCTTTAAATCTGGGAGAGATTCCTTCGATACAGCAGGGAGGATTCCGCCGGCGGAGGCGGCGTGGCTCCGGCCTTTATACGGAGAAACAGAAGAAGAGCAAAGCAAACATGCTATTGCCGTAGCAGCCGCAACCGCTGCGGTGGCGGACGCGGCGGTTGCGGCTGCTCAAGCGGCCGTTGCGGTGGTCCGTCTCACCAGCAATGGCGGCGGGGTAGTCTTTCGCGGCGTTCATGAACGGCTCGCCGCCATCAAGATCCAAACTTACTTCCGCGGTTATCTAGTAAGCTTACAGTTAAATTTCTTGGGCAAAATCATTTCTACTCAACATTTTGATTGGAATCTCTGATTTTTTTTTTTTTCAGGCAAGGAGAGCTCTGCGAGCTCTCAAAGCTCTGGTAAAACTGCAAGCTTTAGTTCGAGGTTATCTCATTAGGAAAAAAGCTGCTGCTACTCTTCACAGTATGGAGGCTCTAATCAGAGTTCAACAAACCGTTCGAGCCCAGAAATCTAAATCTCTTATTTTCCATAGATCCCTGGTATGGTTCCCACATGAAAAAAAAATAAAATCTAAAATCGTAAGCGTGAATCCTCTATTCTCTTCTAATCACTTGCAGGAAAGAATTGATGAAATCAGAACTGAGAAGGCATCTTCATTCCACAGCAGCAGCTTAGATTGGAGCCCGAAAATCATCAAAACCTCCCCTCTCCCACGTCAATTACAGAGGCGGCCATTGACGCCCGATTGGAACCTTCATCTCGATCAATGCCGCTGCTCCTTCACAGCCCAAAGCACTCCAAGGTTCATGAACTCAGTCACCGGCTTCCTACCGCCCTCTCCTTCTACCGATCACCCCCATTACATGTCGAAAACTCAAGCATTCGAGGCGAAGGTTCGATCACAGAGCGCGCCGAAACAGAGAACAGAGCCGTCAAGAAAGCGAGTTCCTCTCGGGGAGCTAATGGTTGACCAAGAGCAAGCAAGAGCTAGTTTGAGCTGCCATGGAATTCAGAGATCTTGCTCTCAGGGGAAGGAGAGCCTCAATTTCAAGAACGCAGTGGCGGGAAGACTTGAATTGAACAGGGAAACAGAAAGGAGCTTCTACTTTCAGAGGAAGTGATGAAGTCAGTTAACAGCAAATTTGATCTTCAAATTTGGATTTGAATAGTTCTTCTTAGTTGTTTTCGAACTGTTCCTTCTTTTCCCCCTTCTTCAAAAAATTTTTTTTTTTTCTGTTCTTTTTATGATTTCAACAGCGGAAAGGAGCGATTTTTATAAATTTATTATGATTGAAAGAAACATAGTAGAAAACGGTCATCTTTTTTGAAATTTGTGAGGTCCATTTTGTAATTTGCCTGAAGTTTTGGACCTCTGATGGTTGAATAGTATTGTTTAAGCATGGCCAAAGATTTGTGCTTTGTACAATGTCCTATCTATAGTATGGTTTTTGATGTTCTTCATATGCTTCTGGCATTTTTTTGTAATTGTACAATGTCCTATCTATAGCATTGAAGTCAGGTGTGTAAGTGAGATGTCCCCTGAAGTCGGACTTATCGAGTTCCAAATTTGAGCTCGAACCTATTTATTAAGCAAGCTCGAGTTTGACCTCAATCCGACTCAACTCTTTAGCTCATCGAGCTACTCGATTCTAGAATATCTACTTTTTTAAAAAAATTAATATATTCTTTTCTTAAGAACTTTTCAAGATAACAAAAATTCGAGCTTTTCAATCAAGCCGAGCTTGAGTTTTATTTCAAGCTCAATAAAAACTAAACGAGCTCAGCTCGATAATACCTTACTCTACTCGACTCCTGAATTACTTTTTAATGTATTCAGATGAGAATAATAAGAACACAATGAGCATTTCAAAAATTCAAATTATACAACAAAACCAACACAAATATTCAAATCATATTCCCTTTGCATTGGTTCAAGAAGAGGTGAACCTTTTTTAAATAATTTTAATAAAAAATAAATTAATTAATTATCACACAAGCAATCTATAAAAGTTGATTTTCACCACCAAATCAATACTTTTCTTCTCAAAATTAACTCTTTGATCTATTTTAAAGAACTTTATCTCAAAATGTTTTAATTGTATTAAATAAAATTATGAAATGTGGTATTAGTCATAATTTTATAAAATTTAATTATTTATTTTTTATATTATCACGGTTAGATTTCATGTTTTATGAAAAATATTTTTAAAACGTGTAAGACAATATTAGTTTTTTATATATGTTACAAAATATAATTAATAGATAGATATTTTAAAATTGATTCAAAATGTCTTCAAACTAATCTCATCTTCAAAAATGACTAAAATATATTATTTTTCCTGAACTTTTTATAAAAAATAATTAATCAAAAAAAGCCTTAAAAAATAGCTAAAAATATCATGAAAAATTTTAAATTAGGAAATTTGATCAAAATTTTTGATATGATGTGCTTAAAATTTATTTTTGTATTTCAATTAATATATCTGCTAGTGTAATATTAATATACTATATATAAGAT